CACATGCCAACAACAGAGACCAAGGCTGAGCCTTGGTATGTCACTGTTCCTCAAGGAGCACAACTAGTCATTTGGTAGAAAACTGACTATATTGGGCCCCTTTCATCCCAGAAGGACCAGAAGTTCCTTCTCACAGGAATAGACTCATTCTGGATATGGGTATACCTCTCCTGCCCACAGGGACTCAGTCAATAATGGGTGGCTTACAGAATGCCTGATCCATAGGCAAAGAATTATATGTAAAACAGCGTCTGGCCAGGAAACTCAATTTACAGAAAAGATGTAAGAGTGGGCCCATGACTATAGAATCCACACATTGGAGCACCAATAATATGATGCAGAATATGCTCTCCTGATACAGCATTGAAATGACTTGCTGAAGGAGCAGGTGAAGCATCACCTGGGAGGCAATACCCTGCAAGGGTGGGGTGCTATCCTCCAGGATACTGTACATGCACTGAATTAGAGAACTTTGTATTGTGCAGTGTCCCCAAGAGGAAGAATACATGGGTCTGGTAACCAAGGTGTAAAAGCAGGAGTGACCTCACTTACCATCACTCCCAATGACTACTAGGGGACTTTGTGCCTCCTTTTTGCCCAGGGATGAGGGTTGTGCAGAACTTGAAGTCCTGGTCCCCGAGAGGGCACACTATCACCAGGGGACAAAGCAAGTGTCCCACTGAACTACAAGCTATAGCTATGATGCTGCCTGGGCACTTTAGGCTCTTTGTATCCAGAGACCAGCAGGCAAGAAGAAGCGCTACCATTCTTTAGAACTGATCATCAGGAAGAGATAGAGCTGCTATTATACAATGGGTGCAAGGGATAATATATGTGGAACTCAGGTACTCTCTGGCCCAATTGTGACTGTGATGTACAAGTGTAGCAACCCCAGTCTGAGAAGCATATATATGGTTATCAGGGACTCATACTACTCAGGAATTAAGGTTTAGGTGAAACCACCAGCTAAGCCACTGAGATCAGCATAGGCGATAGTTAAGAGTAAGGGGAATTTAGAATGGATAGTGGAGGAGGGAGACAATGGGTACCAGTTGTGGCCTGAAATCAACTGCAGTGACAGGGGTTGTAATTCATCCACCTAAGCCCCTTACTCTAGTTTTCCCCTGAGGAAGAGAGGCCCACCAGGGCCCTAAAGGAGCTGCTCCATGATTATGGATGGAGGATTGGATCTACACATTCCAAGGGGTGGATTCTGGCAGACACGAAGATGTACTGTTCAGATCCACCTTCAAGAAAGACTTGCTTTCCAGCTGCAAGAAGTGAAGTTAACTGACAGTTTCCAACTGCTGTCTTCTTCAGTATTTTCATCAGTGTTCAAGCTGAGGTCACATTCTTCTTGTTGTAACCCCTAGCCAAAGACTGAGAAAAGCATTGGTAAAGCCATTTCTTCCCAAGATGGGACTCTCCTTCTAATAGAAAATCTTTGCTCCAGAGTGTCCTATTGGGCTGGTAGAGATTTTGTCAGGCCATCATAGTTTGATGGCCCCTCCTGCCCAGTCTTACTTCCTCCGCTTTTCTTTCATAGGCATTACTCCCCAATAAACCTTTTGCACTCTAGCTCCACCTTACCATCTGCTTCCCGGAGGACTTAACCTGTAACAATTGGTGCTTTGGATGAATTTACAAGCCTTCTACCACTGATCATTTTGCTTCATTGTACAGTGTACCATGGAGATTCCAGGTATTTCTGTAGTGCAGTTGCTTCCACCACTTATCCACTGATTGAATGCTGTCCAACCTCCTAGATCTAGCTCCTAAGCTGATTGCACGTAAGGTTGTACTTACTTACGTAAGGTTGTAAAATGGTAACATAGAAGAATCCTTGAAATTGATGAGGTGATATAGAAAATGCAGTTATGCTCCTGAAGACTTTTCCTAATCAGAAGATCAGTAAAGACATCAACAACAAAAAGATTCTCAGGAGCACCGCATCTGGAAGCTTGCCTCTCTTACTGCCTTGGAAACTTTGTTCTTGGACATCTGGGTTAACTTTCATAAAATGAGGTTATCATATAGTCTGTTATCTGTTCTTTCTTAAAAATAGATTTTTAAAATATCTGTAATATTTCTAACATTTTTCATATTTATTAGTATCATGGTAATCATGTTATTGCAAGCTGCAAGCAGCAGCCATTTAAATGGTAGAACAAATGCTTTAGAAGCCATCTTTTTTTTTTTAAGAATTAATATTATCTGCCTTTAAGTTGGAGCCCTGGTGGTGCACTGGTTAAGCGCTATGGCTGTCAACCAAAATGGTCTGCAGTTTGAATCCACCAGCCGCTCTTGGAAATCCTATGGGGCAGTTCTACTCTGTCCTATAGGGCTATGAGTTGGAATCGACTTGACGGCAGTGGGTTTGGTTTTGTTTGTTTGCCTTTAAGTTATATTTCTTTTTGTACTGGCCTTATTCTAGACATTGGATTTGGGCTAGCTAAGTTACACATAAAATTAACCATCACACTCTATACTACCTTTTTATCTTCTCTTTGAGATATCTGACATCTTTTTTAAGATTGAAAATTCATTTTGATGAAATAAAAATTTTCTAGTTCTTATTCAAGGAACAGTTTTTTACTCTGAAATACAATTCCATGTTGTATTTCATTTTGCATACCT